TTCGCCATCGATAAAAACCTTGAATCATGATACGACATCAAAAATGCAGAATACTAAAAAATATATTAATATGATCAAAAATAAACTTAAAATGCAACCTTCATACGATATCCCAAAAAATACTACGAAATATATTTTAATGTACTACCCAACGTCCTAAAATCCGCTGTTATACACAAATAAACCAACTATCGACCGGGATCAGACTCATGAACTCCACGACAGCGGACAGTTATTTCAATTAATGCGTAAACCAACTACGATGTTCATATAAAACAACTCTGGTTCAATATGTGTGAACCATCCTCATCTAACTCTGTCAATCCTCTTCCAAACAAACATCATCCGCCAAAAATAACGATGTATATATGACGGAATAATTGTGTTAAAAAACGTTCTACTTAATAGAATCAAGTATCAACACAACTCTTAAAAATTTCTAACCACTGTAATCGACAATCCTAGACATTGAGCGAAAAATAAAAACGAATAACGCATTCATACCCGGTTAATAACGTCCAACAACGAACGCTCAAACTCGATCCTACTTCAACGACGGTGCATAAATCTTCAAAGACGATAAAAAACCGCTGGAACGCTGAAGAGAACCTTCGAAAAATATTGTACACGATTTGATATAACGGCCAATGATCTCACGTAATTTTATTCCGTGATTTTAGGCAACGTATCAGCAAATCTCAAATCACGTAGTAAAGGAAATAAATGCCGTTTAAAAATAAAACAGGGGTATTAAAGGAAAATTACATAATATATTTTGCCAAGTTGGCAAAATTGGGTCTATCTCAAAAAGGGGAAAAAAAATTGGATCTACCTCATTAGAAAATATGAACAAGGGGTTATCCCTAATAAACCCTAATTATAAATTTATTTAGTTATATATATTGGCAAAGTTTTGCACTGCCTATTTTGGTTTAATTGTCCTTATTACATAAATGATGGCTACATAAGTAATTACAAAAAAATGAGAGAATTTATTGAATGAGTAATAATTAAGCATGATTTACATGCTTATAATAAAACCACCAATAATAGGCAGAATGTTAGTCCGTACGAACTGACACATTTCAATTGATTAATTATATAAGGACATATTACAAATAAGCCCATCAGTGGAAACTTATTCATAAAGAGATCCAGACAATATTCTCCTTTACCAATAAGTCCACACATGGTTCAGATTTATGTAAAGGACTAAAATAACCCCTCTTATTTTTATATGCTCCAATTTCATCCTTAACTTAATTTAACTTCAATTTGACCCCAAATTTCACAAATTATTCAATTTTGACCCAAAACTTTTTTTTTTTCACAAATTTTTTTTTTTCAAAAACTTTTTTTTTCCGCCGGATTCCGGCGTTGACCGGCGGTCAACGCCGGTCTCCGGCGTTGACTTTTTTTTTTCATTTTCTTTTTTTTTTTATTTTTTTTCCTCCCGGATTTTTTTTTTTCCGAATTCCGGGGTTGACCGGCGGTCAACGCCGGTCTCCGGCGTTAACTTTAAATTCTTTTTTTATTCCTTTTTTTTACCTTCCGGAATTTTTTTTCCGGATTCCGGCGTTGACTCAAAATTTATTTATTAATTTATTGACTTTATTTTTTTTGTTTTCCCGAAATTTTTTCCCAAATCC